AAAGGAGACTTCACCTCTGCCATCTTCTTCTTCTTTTGTTTTTCCAAGAATCTGTAACTCCATTCTACTTATGAGTTGAACAATAGACAAGGGCAGATTGAGGGATATTCTGTTGCCACAATATTTCTTAAGACCATCAAGGTCATGGGGAAAAAAAAAAAAAAGAAGAAGAAAGTCTCAGAAAGTGCCACAGACCAGACGAGACAGGGAAGACATGCCAACCCTATGCCATGTGATGTCCTGGATTAGACTCTGGAATAGAAAGTCCAGAGTTTAGTTAATAGTAATGAAGCAGTATCATTTTCTTTGACAAAGGTAGCATGGGGATATAAAATGTTCAACAACAGGGAAAACTGGGTGAAGGGCATATAGGAAATCCCAGTAGTATCTCTGTAACTTTTTTAGAAATCTAAATTATTCAATAAATAAGGGTGTTTTTTTTTAAAGATGTACATATATTACTTTTAAAGATTTTATTTACTTTTTATTTGAGAGAGAAAGAGAGTATGAACAGGAGGAGAAGCAGTGGAGGAGGGAAAAAGAATCTGAAGCGGACTCTGTGCAGTGTGTGGAGCCCCAGCAGGGCTCGATCCCATGACCGTGAGATCATGGCCTCAGCTGAAGCCAGGAGTAGGGCGGTAAACTGACTGAGCCACCCAGGTACCTCTCCATTTACTTATTTATTTGAGAGAGAGAAAGAGAGCACTCACAAGGAGGGGGGAAGAGGAGAGGGAGAGAAACAGATTCCTCACAGAGTGTGGAGCCCGATGTAGGCATGACTCAGAGATCATGACCTGAGCTGAAACCAACAGCCAGACACGTCACTGGCTGAGCTACCCAGGTGCTCCTAAAATAAGTTGGAAAAAAAAAAAAAAATCAGTGCCGAATACCAGGTGATGCACACAGGAGACTGTCTTTGGACTGAAGAGAGCAGTGTGCAGGCATCTGGCCAGACCACCAAATACAGGCATTCAGGGTTTACACATCTCACAGGTTTAAATATCCCGCCAGCAGAGTCGTCTCTTTCACAATAGACAGAATACATGTCAATTAAGTGATGAATTACATCCTCTTCCCCTAAGCTTCCTGTGGTATTTATCAGTGTTTGCAGCACTGTTTCTGAAAGTGAGAATGTGAGTTGGGAGGTGGGAGCAGGTGTACTTTGCAGGCACAGGCATGTGTGCAGGAGGTTAGCTGGCTTTGGGACCTGCACACCGCAGGGCAGCCGGCGCGTCTATAGTGTGTCTCAGCAACAGCAACCCCAATCCGAGTTCCCGCTTTTGGGGAGCATGCTAGCGTGCCAGACTTGGCCCCAGCGGTTTCATCCATGAGATTACGTTTCGCCCTCTTTGTCTGGGAGGCTGCTATGATATTCTCACTTTAGAGATGAGAGGTATGATTATGGGAGAGATGAATGACTTGGTCAAGGTTACAACTGTGATTCAAACACAAACATTTCTGACTCTTCCAACATGTCAGTAAATAAAAGACTGGAATTCCGTTAAAGCAACTGCCTAAGGCACATTCCTAACATTGTTCATCTTTGCCAGAAAATAATACACCGAGATATTATATATTATACATTACATATACTTAAAAATATCCATATAACTCCCTTTACACTGAGAAAATGTTAAAGGGTTGTTGAACACTATACCTCATAGACAACAAATGTTAGTCCATCCTCTCCTACCTTTATAGGCTACACCTATTTTCAATTAGTTCCAAACTGGTTTTTGCTTGTGTTTTAGAGTATAGACTTGTATGAATTATCAGGGCAATTCAAAAGCACAGAGTAAGCTCACGCCAGAAGTCAAGTTTAGCCCGTTTACACGGGATAGTGTTAAATCTTGGCCAGAATCAAGTTATTCTAGATATAAAAATACATATTGTATCAATGAAACTCCTTTGGAATGAAAAATACAACAGATTCTCAAAAACTAACGACCCTCTGCCTAGACTATATGATTATATGCTTTGTTAAGGACTCACTTATATATTTCATTCCGATTATGGGAGTGAGTTTCTGCTATCATTAGGGACTTACTTTAAGGAATTTTTTTTGAACATTTCTCTTCATGTTCCACCTTTTAAAGCTGAATAGACCTTCCTCTTGGACATCATAACCATTATCTTGAGGGTTAATAATTCATAAAGTCAGTAATGAGAGCCTAATTCTTTTAAGTAAGTCTGAAATTGACCAGCAAGCTCCAGGACTAGAAAAACTAACCCTCTTCATGCTATTATTTTAGGGAGAACGCCCCCAGGCGAGATGGAGCTAAATGGAAAAGGGATGGTAAATCTTTGAAATAGTGTAGTCATCTTTCTCCTTGCTAAAATAAGCAAGGTAATTAAAAGGGCTACCATCCTCTAATTACCAAGGAGTCCTGCCTTACGGATGGAAGTGGGGCTTTGTTAGACAACAAACAGTCGAGCTTGTAATCTAATACGAGTAATGACCCAGACATATGAGCAAGATCTGTTAAACAGCGATGGCAAACCGCCCCACGCTGACTCCATGCATCTCTCAGTGTATCATCCAGAAAGGGCACTGATTTCTTTAAGCCCGGTAATGAAGCACTGGTCTGGTTCAGGGTTTGTAATGCTGACAATCAGTAGACGGCCCAAGAGGATTCACTCCCTTTGGGATTCGGGTCAGACTGCAGTCCTCAAATCCCTTTTACCTACAGATGTCTTATGCACTTTGTTTAACCAGTGCTTCTGAAATAATAGATCTATTTTGGTATGGTGTGTCATGTACGGACTTGAACTGGTTCTTGTCTTTATACTCCGTATGAGCTCTGTTGGCCTTCCCGGAATCTGTAGTTGGTTGCAAGCTGGAATCAGGTAAGAGAGTGAAGGAAAGAACCAAATGTATAACTTTGAAGGACAAAGCTCCCGGAGCAACCACAGTTTAGATGCACCATAATTATATATTAAATGTGGAATGCCTGAGTTGGCCATCTTTACTTCTAATTACTATATTGTTTCCTTCAGACTCAAATCTTTAGAATGAGTTAACTTCTTGATTTCCTCTTTGAGTGTGTCTTTGTCCTTCTGAGACCCAAAGACACTGCTGAATTTCCTGGATTTATATTTATACCAATATATATACCTCCTCCAATTTGATATAAGAAGTTTCCTTACAGAGAAGTTTTATCACATAAGAGATGATGAATAAACCACTTGCCAGGAAATGTCATCTTCTTGTAAAAACTCAAATCACCATTACCTCTGGCAATGGTGGACAGATAATGCCACGGAAAAGATAGAACAGATAACTGAAATGCACCGATAAGCCTCAAATCTCATTTCTGCCCCAAATTTCAAATGCTTCCCTACTCCCAACTGACTTCCTTCAGAGTTGAAGGGAAGCTGAAAAACATTAACTGATTTGAGAACCATTCTTTCTTTTTTAGTCTTCAAAAATTATAAGCTATTTGTCTATAAGTTTGGAATGAGAAAGGACACAAAACACTCTTCTTCATAATGAGTAGCCTTTAAAAGTCAGTTTAACTCACCCTGTAGCTACACCTTCCAATACAAACATGTGTGTCTCCATCACATTATTAAATGAGATTTTGTGCTAGTCTGTCACTTATAATCTCATTTATATTAGAAAATATAATCAGTCATGTATAGATGGGAGAAATGCAGAGGTTCAGGGAATTACTCCTTCCCCACTTGAAACTTTCCCACCAAAGGAAATGAGAAGAACAGAGAGGGGGAAGGCAGGGGAGAAGCTCTAGAAGGTATCCCTGTTTAAGAAAAAGAACCAGAAGGGCTGAGGCAGCTGAAGCTGCAAAGAGAATTGAGAGGGGGAACTTTCACACAGAATTCTCTGGGGGATTCAGTGACTGGACTACCAGGGAAATGACTCTTGCTCACTGCCACATCCAGATCAAAAGTCTCTGCCCTCACCCCTGACAATGACCGTGGATTTCAGGATTTCCATCCATTAAACCCCATTCCAGATAACAGGTCCAGAATCAGAGCTTGGAAGTCATTAACCCAGGAATGTGTCCCCTCCTCAGTTCCTGCCAGTTTTAGCCCTTTGTGTTTTCCACAACTCTAGGTAGGTCCATATTGGGAACCAGCTTCGGGTCTTAAGTTTATAAACCTCTGGTTCTCCATCAAACTCCTTCTGTTCTGTTGGAATCCCTGCCTGTGCCCTTGGATGCTGGTCGTGATCTTCTCTGACTTTACTGCACTTCATCACTGGCCTCCACAATTAAGAGAGAGTCCAGAACCCTAATATCTAACACACCTGCAGTCTTAACATCTTCTGGCCTACCCGGTTACCTCATTTACCACAGTACAGACAGGGATCTAACATAGTGAATGGAACGTAAAAAGTGCCCAGTAAATACTGAACGATAGATAAGATGAACTAAAAGTCAGCTACGCATTTAAAGAAGCACATGGAAAATATGAACATTGAGAAGTATTCATATGTAGAGTAATTTAAGAATTCAGGACCAATGTCACCTCATGATCTGTGAATCACTTTATCATGACATTGAGTACTCTGTGGGCCTCTGACATTCATGCAATCACATAAGAGCTAGATGTGTTGGACATGTCTTTGTGGATAACTTTGTGACACCTGCAGGAAGAACGAGGACAGTATTTGGTAACGTAGACTCCAGAAAGAAACTTGTGCTGTCTCAAGGGTTTTCTAGACATTATGATACCATACGACATTCGCCAACTTTCTGCTTTCTCATCTTAGTTAAACCTGAGACTAAAGTGGTTAATAAACCAAAAGATCCTAACTTGGCCTCTTCAGCATAATAATTTTCTTCTGCTGTTTTCCTTTGCCCAGCTCCATTTTCTTCATCCCATAAATCATCTCTTGGGGTTCACATGGTACTATGCTTCCCTTCATTTTCCTAACCATTGTTTTCAGACACAAGACGAATCTATCCATCAACCCAAGGAGGATCAAGCAGCTGAAGACCGGCTGATCACATGAGATCAACTAGGCACTTCCAACTTACAAGCTTCCCGAAGTTTCTCTTTGTCATAGTGGAATCCTTCATAGTCTTGTAAACTGATTTTGTTCACCCGGATCCTCAGGCGGTCTGGGACAGACTGGGGACTGCAAAACAAGAACCGAGTAGTCAGACAAATGAGAGAGTGGAAGTGAGAGTCACATGCACCTGGAAGGACTAAAGGAAATAATGTCTCTTCATGCTTGGAAGAAAAAGTTCTCATTCAAACCGGAATTATAGGATCTTTACCAGAATATGGCCATTATCTGGAGAATGTATCTCCAGAAACCTCAAGTTTCTGGAATTTAGGCAAGAACATGGAAATAGGCAGAAAAAGCTTCTGGAAGCTGTCTGGAAGCTATGCTTTTCCTGTTTACTGTTAAGTCATTAAGAATTCTAATAAGATCATGTGTTTAGTTTCACAATAAATTAGACACAGTTGATCCGAACCAGTGAGACACAGCATAGAGCTGTAAAAAACTCCTCTAGAAAAATGTGTCCCTTTCAGCCAAATATAGCAGTCTGGCCCTCCGAAGAGACAAGAACAAAAAACAAACAAAAAAAAAAAAACCCTCTGAAAAGCATACCAAGAATTGAGAAAGCACAGGATTGAGATCAAAATACCTCTACGTACCCCACAAGTCTGAGAGCACCTCTCAAAGCTTATGACAGTAAATGCTGCCTGTGATGGTGATTCTGACTGCCTCAAAATGATGAAAAAATTTTAAAATATATATAATGTACTTTCTTTAGAAAGGGAATGAAGTTGTAATTCATTTTAGAAGAACTCAGTGCAAACCAGTGAAGGATACATGTCAAACAATTAAAAGAGGGCAGCACCAAGCTTTCTGATGCCTCCTGTCCACTCACAGAATGCCCTTGGGTTTTACATAATATTTTCCAAATCATTTAATCACTGGCATTAGTTGAGTGAAACAATTTAATTTTCATCATCACCACTATGGATCAATGCGTTTCTTTAATGTATTAATGTAACACAATTCCCACTTGTCCTTCAGTAGTACCTTATACTTAGACTTCATTGGTTCAGATAATTTTAGCAAATACAGGATTGCTTCTCTTTTCTTGTGTTGTGGGATAAAAGTTGCTATTGACTGAAGTAGAAAGAACAGCATTACTCTTCTATTCATTTCAGTAAAGAAGGGAAGGACTGGAAGAGGCAAAAAGGAAAGAAAGAGAAGAAAGAGTAGGAAGGAAGAAGAAAAAGATAGATGGAAGGAAGGAGGGATAAAACATTGTCAGAATACTGCCACCCGCACCTCAAACACACACATGCATGCAATTTCACTGCAACTCTGGAAGGAGGGAACAATATTTTAATCTCATTCTCTTGCCTAATACCTCATCTTAGGGCAAAGCAGACTTAACTCCCTCCATGTAGACTCCCATTCCAATACTCCCCAAACAACATATAGACCCAACTATGGATACATATGTGCGTACTCATACATAGTTTGCTTCCTCTCCCACATGAAGATGTTTAGATACAAGTGCATAAATTCTAAAGAGAGAGGGTGAACAAATAAAAATGTCTGAGGTTCACTGGGTTAAAAACTAAGCCAATATGAAATGACAATATGGATAATTCTGAGGGAAAATTTTGAGAAGACAAATCAGTAGACTAGTCCATTCAAAGTATGTCTGTTGGGTGTCTATTTTGTATTGGGCATTGTGCTGGACAGGAAAAGGCAATGATAAATAAAACTGGCCTAAGTTGTGATGGGAAATAGGATTTGAAGGCATGTTTTGAATTAGTAGAACATGCCTTAAATATCACAGGTACAGGGAGGGAAGCTGAGGTTCAGAAAGGAAAAGTGATTTTATGGTCACAGAGCTACTAAGTGGCAGAACTGGGAGCAAGAGTCTTATAGACTTCACTCATCAGTTTCATGCTTGTTTTATTGTATGATGCCAAGAATCCCATGGATTTGACAGCAAAACCATAGAGCCTGAATTAACAAAGTCAAATGATCTCTATGTGGTGTTCAGATTCTTATCCATAAGCAATCAGCTGGGGGATAGTTAAGTAAACTGTTATACACTGAAACAAGAAAACACTGGGCAAATATTACAAACGAGTGTGTGGATCTACAACTGTTTAGTGGGAAGTCTCACTGGAACATTGTGGAGTGAAAAAAATGTTATGGAAAATTACATCTGGAATAATCTCCTTCATGTAAACTGTGGAATTTTGGCATTTGTATATGTACACAAGTGTCTGGAGAGAATGTTCAGCGAGCTATCCCAAGCAGTTATCGCTACGTGATGTGACTTAAGGATTATTTTACATCAAGTATCATCATTTTCAGAAAAAAGGTTTTAAAATTATATCAATATGTAAATAAATAACTCAGAACCAGAGTAAAAACAAGAGTTACAGCAAAGAATGTTAGGTATTAGACGTGAGTAGGTAGGACAGGTTAGGAAAGAATTTAAGCAATTAACAGAATGACCACACAGTGTTTGTGCCAGATGGTTATCCCGAAATTAAGAGGGGTTTTATCCTTTTATTCTCAAGTTCACCCTAGTGACCTGAAAAGACTGTAATTAAGAAATATTTCCCCACAAGTACATCAGGTAAGAGGGAAGCAGGAAGCACAGAATGCGGTGGCCCGCCATACTCTCTAACGGAAGATGGGGGAGGACAGAGGTGGAAAGAACTCCACTTCAATACATTTTGAGTTGGCAGTAGGTCTAATGACATTAAGCTCTAGCATTCTCCAGTGAGTAGAGACATCGGGAGTAAGACCTAGTTCCAGCAGCAGCTGTAGAGTAGAAAATAGGATTCAGAGAATGACTATAGACCAGTCCCTGTACTCCTTTCTCCCAGGAGCTCCTCACTAACTAACCACGGTGTACTGCCTTTCTCACGGTCCATCTGTGCCTGCTCCCTGCCCACATACTTCCACCTCCCAGCTTTGCATCTGTGCCCACCAATTCCAGACACGCACTGCTGCCTCCTGAGCCACAGCCTCCACCATTCCTCCTTAAAGGTGGTGCACCATGGACATACAACAGGAACTGTCATTTGAGTGGAACTTTCCAGAATCCAAATGAACTAATATATATCTCACTTCACCTCCAGAGCGATTGGCTAGGCAGGAGACAAGAAAATGGAGACTCAGTAACTGCTTGTCACTCTCCCCCATCCCACCTTCTTAGACACTCACTCTCTTACTGTCAGCGCCCATCTGTTCCTGACGACCTGCAATGCATCCCACGTTCCTACCAGCAGCAGCTTGCTTGAACCCACTCTTCTGAGGGGGGTACCTGATGTTTGGCCTGGATCAAATGTTGGGGCCCATCCGCAAATTTTAGGGCAATCATGGGGTCTGTGATTGAAATCTCCTTTGAATTCTTTTGGATCCTGGCATAAAGACAAGGCAGTTCAGCAGAGCTGAAGAACTTCAGGCTCTGAGTCAGACTGCCCCGACGTGAAGTACACTTCTCCTACCTACTGGTTAATCAGGAAGCCCTGGGCTTCAGTTTCCCCACAGGTAATATAGAGGTGAGAACAGGATCCACTTCTCAGAGATACTGGGAGGATGAAATGAGTGAATACAGAAAAGTGGCTGGCACATTTTAAGTGCTCAGTAGATACTCACTACTACCAGTATAATCATTATTCTGAAAATCCCCGGCCTACATAAGCTTCCGCTGGTAAGCAGTAGCATCTTCTGCTGCCAGACAGCGGGAGAAGTTTAGGGCGCATGCTGGGACCGCCCTCGGCCCTTCCGGCCAGCCGCTGGGCTTCCTCTGAGGGGGAACGGTCTAGTCTGGATGGTGCCATCATTCTCCTGGACCTTCTCCCACAGGTATTTTACAGGCCAAGCAATAACATGAAAACAGAACTAGAAGGTGGGAAAGATAAAATGCACAGATGTTAAGTGAAAGCTGAGTAATTGTGTCCCTTTATGTCAAAATATATTAATGTCCCATTAACGGCTGAGCAGAGGTAGACGGTGACAAAGCTGCTCCTTGGAGTCTGGGGAATAGCAGAGCCATTAGTTTTCTAAAATTAAATTTTCCCAAGAAAGTTAGTAGAGCATAGAAGAGATGAACAACCTGGATAAAAATGGATTTGCCTCTATGCCCACATCTACCACAAACTACCCCGATACTGATAGGCTCTGTAGTACGGGTTCTAAACCAGACTTCCTTGGGATCACTCAAGGTTCTGAAAAGGGACTCAGCAATCTTTGAATTCCCTTTGAAATCAGGACAGTGACCTCAACCTATCACCTCCTTATAAATTTCCGCTGAAATGTCAACACTAAGTTTTTTAATGCAAGTGGAAATTCATGGTTTTGGACGTAACTCCCAAATGTCTCCATGACAACTCCCAAAGTACCAGAAAGCATCTCATTAAATCCACACACTTGGGCTCCAGACCACACCTTCCCATATCCACATTACACACACCTGTTACTCTGAGATGCTGGCGGGGGAGGGGAGAGGTGGATCGCCATCCAGACCACTCTCAGAACACTTACTGCTATTCAGCTTACACCTTCCTCACTACACAGGTTTCTCTCAGTCCTCATAACACACTCTCCTCATTCCAACCTTCTCATATGGATACCCCTTACAGACGAAGAGAATGAGTTGGGGGCTTTTGTTCCCCAAGGTCATTTCAAGACCAGCAACACCATGTAACTCTTTCTCATTAGCAACATGAATCATCTGGGAATAATATCCTTTAATATTAAGACACTATAACACATTGCGTAATACGACCCAAACTCAGAAAAATCTTAGTTCCAGTCTGAACTCTGTCAATTAATACATGTTTGACATTGAGAACTCTGAAGTCACCTTGGCTAAACCATTTTCTAATTTGAAAATGGACCTGATAATAGGAATATGTGAGCATTAAATGAGAAAATACATCTAAGGCAGTTAGTATATCCCTGGTAGATAGTGTTAAGTATGTTGTTGTATTTTTATTAATACCAGCATGCTCCAATTGCTTTTTAAAAAAAATTTTCTTTTTAAAAAAAATTTAATCCTAGATAATATCAGAGCAGAAGCCAGAATCACAGCTGTAAGTAGCAATTAGTAGATACCAAAACTTAGCAGAATGACA